AAAAAATTGACGTTTCAAGAGTATCTTGTCGAACCTGATCCAGGGCACTACTGACGTCGTTGAGGTCCCACGGTAATAGGAGTTACCGCCTATCGTCACCATCCTCTTGCGGTGGCTTCAACGACCCAGAGAGAGATGGAGACGATGTAGTACCTGGTTCGCAACAATGCTTGGTGCGCGGAGAGAAAAGGTCGCCGCATGTGCCACATGCGGCGTAACCAGGTGCCTGGCTGCTCGAGCGCAAGGATCCAGGAGGAGACAAACTGAGTAGTAGCTCTTTTCCTCGACCTTNACCGTACTTCCGGTGGGCATCGTGGTGCAGGTCTAGGTACGGGTGATGGTGGTGCCAAATCTTGGTTCATGACACCGCTCATTGCCAATGCGACTGGGGGCTCCAGTGCAAAGCGATTCCACGTCAGTCCATCAGTCTACTACTGCTGCTGCTGCTACTGCCTTCCACCACGCACGAGCGTGCGTGGTGGAAGTGTGTGTGTGTGTCCCTCCCGATCGTGTGTGTGTATATATGTGGATGCAACTAAACACAAGTATTTCTCCTCGACACAAGCCCGCCGAGTTGCCGACACCCTGTTCAACACACGTCTGGCGACAAGCTACCCCCAGCTCGGATCATCCTATCACAAACAACATATTCGCCTGATTGAGAGCGTAGCATCTGATTGAGAGCGAGATTGCGCGATACGCTGTAGCCGGACTACCACTGAGAGGTGGAGCTTGCTGTGTAGCTTGAATTGAAGGGCTAGCCCGTAGCTTCAAGCCGCTACCCTGGTCATCCTGTGGGAGTCTCTCGTTGTGGAGCTACAGCGGGGAGCAGAAGCTACAGCAGAGCCCACCGCCCGACGCGATACCGCCCTGAAACAGTTTGAGCAGAAATAGCCAATCTGGGCAAATCTAGCAACTTGTCTAGCTCCTCGCTGCAGCATCCGATGACGATGACACGCATATGCTCGCGAAGCTGCTGATGAGACCTTCAATTTGCACCGCTTCTTGGAATAGCCCGTCCCCTACTTGCCAAGAAATGGCAAGAGGCGTCTGGACCCGAAATTTCAATTTTTTTGGCTCTCGCTCTCAATCAGATACTTCGCTCTCAATCAGGCGAATATGTTGTTCACAGCGGACAGTGTCGCACGCGAAAATAGCATACCAAGGCATGTTTCGAACAACGGGACCGTTTGGTCATGGTCATGCTCAGGCACACCACAGTCTGGGTGATTGCCGCACGCCATGGTACATTGTATTGCAAGGTCGAACACCGCCGGTATTCAACCCCAATCGGTGGTCCCGCAGTCAACCTCAATCGGTGGTCTCGATCGTCGGTCCCGCACAGCACGCTGGCCAGTTTCATCGTGTTGGCGCAGACCAAAGTGGAGAGTTTTGAGCGACAGGGTATAGAGAAACAGAGGTGAGCAACGTAGACACGAGCAGACCCTGGAATTGTTTGGCTGGCACACTGCGGTTCAGCCGTGCAGATTTATCTGTCTCGCCCAGCGGTGATCTTGATTGATTGGTAGTTTGGCTGGCACAAAGTGTTTCAGTCTTACAGCAGTGTGTGTCTCTCATTCTTTCCCCAAACTCAAACAAAAAAACACCCGGGGGGTATCCAAACAACCCCCCCACCACACACCACCACACACCACCAAAACCGGAAAATCCGGAACCGCGACATTGCCGTATCCTACAGACTATCCACGATCCACCCCGCCGCACGACACGTGTCCATGCACATACACGTATATACGTTGTTGGCCAATTGGCCAGCGGGTGTGCGTTGAATCATGGCCGTGCTGTAACGGGCCCAAGCAGTAGTCCGTGTCGACAGCATGAAAGAAGTTCGGCACGTTCCACGATCCATGATGACGACGGGTAAATGTTCCTCCGGTTCATCCGCGATCCGGGGCGATCTTTCATTCCACCGTGCACCAGACATGGCATCCACCCTCACCGCAAGCCAAACCTACGTGTCTGGTGTGTGGTCACTTGTCTGACGACATGCCAGTGTGATGGCGGTCTCAAACAACATGCCCTCAGCGACAGTAACAGCAGAGATAGACGATTGGACGGAACCACAACGGATCGGATGGATGGATGGATCCAACGGGTAATCGTTTCATTGTACAGCCAACCAGCGACCTCACTGACCCCCAGCGGACAGTGTCGCACGCGAAAATAGCATACCAAGGCATGTTTCGCACAACGGGACCGTTCGGTCATGGTCATGCTCAGGCACACCGTAGTCTGGGTGATTGCTGCACGCCATGGTACATTGTATTGCAAGGTCGAACACCGCCGGTAGTCAACCCCAATCGGTGGTCCCGCAGTCAACCTCAATCGGTGGTCTCGATCGTCGGTCCCGCACAGCACGCTGGCCAGTTTCATCGTGTTGGCGCAGACCAAAGTGGGAGTTTTGCGCGACAGGGTATAGACTAGAGAAACGAGGTGAGCACCGTAGACACGAGCAGACCCTGGAATTGTTTGGCTGGCACAAATGGTTTCAGTCTTACAGATTTAGTCTATCTGTCTCTTCCAGCGGTGGTCTTGATTGATTGGGAGCTTGGCTGGCACAAAGTGTTTCAGCCTTACAGCAGTGTCTGTCTCTCATTCTTTCCCCAAACTCAAACGAAAAACACCCGGGGGTTCTCCAAACAAGCCCCCAACCAGACCCCACCAACCTACTGCGCAAACAGCAAATCTGCCAAACAAAGTATTCTTGCGGGGTTTCACCCAATCGCATTTTGATGGCACGGTATTCTAAGGTCAACCGTGTTTTCTCTACACTCGCCTGGCGTTCGTAGTATGCTAGAAATAGCTTCCAACCTCACTGGGACTACCATCAGTGATAATCTGGGTCAAGACAGGCATGTAGGTGATTGTCGTGATGATCGAACCTCACGCCGTGATCGCCCTTTCTACCGTCTCAGGCGAGTGCATCCTACGTAAGTCCTTCATGTCTAGTCTACTCCTTCTAGCCCAACTGGAATTCTGTGGTCACTCAATAGCGGGTTTCCCCGTGGACTCAAAAAAGTGCCTCCGAGGGCAAGAAAGTGCTCTCGTGGGAAAAAAGTGCTTCCGAGAAATGGCCCGCCTCCCCGGAGGTAGTTTTTTGGGAGAGCACTTTTTTTGTCAAAATAGAGGACAATTGAGGCGCTCCAAATTGTGCTTTCGCGAAGAGACCCGCCAAGGGGCACTTCGTTCACACGCCTGCTGAGCAACGAGGCAACGCGCAATCTACCCACAACAGCAAGGCTACCTTCGCGTCTACCTCCTGCCGAACGGGGAAAGTGTGAACTGTTCGTGTGTCTGGATACGAGCATGGTAGATCTGCTAGCGGCACGGGGGGGTACGTAGACAGGAGCATGCGTATGCCTGAAAAAGGCTACTATGTGTGGGCCCCATTCCCCGAATTTGGGAGGGCCACTTCTTCCCTTCCTTTCCTCGCTCCCGCGGGTGCCTAATCAGAGAGAGTTAAAGCGTGTCTTCTCCTCCCAAGTACGGACATACCAACACACTAGTGTTTATTCCTTCGAGGGAGTCCATTAGGGATGGCGGGCCGCAGAACCGGAGGGACCACTCCGAACGGCTCGCAGGCAGGAGACACAAATAGCAGCGAGCAGATCGACAGCATGCGGTCTGAGATCAGTTCGCTGACACAGCAAATGGGCCAGCTGGTGCAGCTGGTCGGAGGACTTGCTACACGTATAGAGGAGAAGTCCGGCGGTGCCACGGAGGGCGCCGCTGAAAGCGGCGGCGCCGTGGAGAGCGTCGCCACAAGCACTGCAGGTCATTTTGGGACCGTGCAGTACGACGGGAGCGCGCAGGCAGCGGACCTGCGACGAGAGTCTGGTCCTTCGGGACGACACAGCGGCGAAGTAGGGGGTTCAGACCCCCAAGAGGTGAGAGTAGCCGCTGCTCACAATCAAGCTTGTTTCAGCAGCGCCATGGGAAGTGGTGCTGCTGTCTTCGGTAGTGCGAGCGTGGGATACCAAAGCGTGAAGTACACAGCGCCCACGTTCAGCGGAGACGCCAAGAGCTTTTCTTCGTGGCTAGAGGATTTTTTGATGGCAGCGAACACAGCAAACCTTCTTGAGCTTTTCGAGGAGGGGGGGGCGGAGATCCCCGTAAACAGTGGGCAGAGCAAAGTCCAACTGTCCAGGTTTTACCCGCACGACAAAGTAGAGCTCGCTTTCCACGCGTGGAATTTCCTCCGTGGAGCTCTCAAGGACGAGAAAGACAGGACAATAATGAAGCGAGCTGAGTCGCCCCTGGGGGCGCTCCGTGAGCTGAAGGGGTTGTACGACCCAGAATCGTCCATGCAGCCTGCGGATGAGTTAAAATCCCTGACATCCAAGAAGATCCCGATGGCAGAGAATCCGCAACATGCTCTCAACAGTATGCTCGCCACCGCAGAGTCCCTTTCGAAACGGGGGCTTGATGTTAACGAAACCTTCGTTTTGCACCTCTTCTTGGATGCCCTCTCCAACGAGTACGCTATGACCAAGCACGCCCTCAGACACAAGGAGAGGTTGACAAGGAGTGACGTCCTGAAGGAGGTCACCATCGAATATCGATCGATCATGGAGAAGGTGAAGGCGGCGGTACCGGGGACAACAAGTTCCCGGGCCGGTGCTTCACGTGTGGCCGTTTCGAACACACGCAGCAGGACTGCACCACCAAGGAGAGCGACTACCTCCTACAGTGCTCACACTGCGCAGGATGGGGTCACAGCAAGGACAAGTGCGCGGCGGAGGAGGCCGTCCTGGCGCAGATCGTCCATGCCGACAGCGACGCCGACTCCGTCGACAACCAGGCCTTCTGTGCGGCGCCGGGCCTGCCAGGCGAGTGTGGTGCTGTTGACCTAGGTCTAGTGGGGGTAACGGAACTAGGCCAGGATGTCATGGTGTACATGCCTGATACAGCAGCCACGTGCTCCATGTTCCGATGCGCAAACGCGTTCGTGAACTACCGCGAGTGTAGTGGTTGGTCAAGGGGATCGGAGGCAACAAGGCCCCCGTTCCTCTCTTAGGGTACGGAGACGTGACCGTAGTCTTTCTGACCGAAGGCGGTAGGGTACCAGCGCTAATCCTGAACGCCGCTCATGTGCCCGAGTCCCCCCACAACCTTCTCTCACTGTCGGCGTTGGCCGAGGAAGGCCACACGTATTCCGGCCAGAAGGGGGGGCTGACTCTCACTACGAGAGCCGGGGGGAAGGTGTGGTTCCCCCGGACGGGTAAGCTGCTAACTCAAGAAGGCTATCAAATTGAGCCAAAGTAGACATCGCCTGTGCCGCAACAATTGTTCCTGTAGATACGAAAGCAGCCACCCCCACTGACCTCAACTACTACCACAATTCGCACGGCCACACGCACGAGGAACTGCTCCAGAAAACGGCGAAACAGCAAGGAGTGCAGCTGACGGGAGGACCGCTGCTACCATGCCTCGGCTGTTCGATGTCCAAGGGGCAGGTGAAGCCCATTTCAAAGAGCACGGACACACGCGCAGCTAAGAAATTGTTCCGCCGCTTTCTCGACTTCGGGGGGAGGATGCAGTTCAAAAGCATCGGTGGCAACTGGTACACCCTCATCATCCGAGATGATTGCACCCGCTGGACACGTGTTTTCTTTCTGAAGCACAAGTCTGACGCCGCTGCCGCGTTCGAGCGATATCTGG